AATAAACCTCTTCCTTAATTTTGGATGTTAGATATTTTGTCCCACAATGAATGATACAGAGCCTCATTTTTTTTTGTTGCACAATCCACCTTGTTTATACAGTACTGTAATATTTCCTGATCGTACTGTAGTACAGTATAATAGTTTTATGCTATATATTACAATAGTGCATGTAAAAGTTGTACAAAGAAAAGCAAAATAATAAGGTGAAGTTTCCTTTGACCATCTCTTTGTTCTGAACATTGTAATGTAGTGGCACATCATTGATGACACAGAATGAAATTATATACTACCTCCTAGGCAGGAGCATTGTTTCCTTACTGTGTTTGTGTGATTAATTCATAACTCATTTACATCAGAGTGTATTTAAATTGGTAATTGGCGATTACAGTGGGGATGAAAGCTGATATTGGTGTATATATACGAGCTCAGGGCCTGGCACAAGCTGGACAGCTGCTCTACCACTAGCATACATCCCCAGCCTTTTTCCTAACATTTGAAGAGAAGGTCTAAGTTGCCCAGGCTGGCCTAGAACCTGTGATTCCTCTGCCTCAGTCTCCACTTTAGCTGGGATTATAGGTATGTGCCACTAAGCCAACTAATAACAATACTCATTTATTTATTTATTTATTTATTTTTTGTATTTTAGGGAAGGGCCTACAGGGTATTCAGGGTTTCACTACTAGATTGGACTCATAGTGATCCGCCTGTTTACAGCCTCCTAAGAGCTGGGATTACAGACACACACCACCATGCCCAGTCTCAATTGCTGTCTCAGCACACCCTGAGGCCGGGGCTGGCATGGTAGGCCCAGGGATTGAACCTTTTTAATCTGTTGAGCTATTTGGCCGGTCCTAACAATATTCTTTTAAACATCTTCTATGTTTTCTGCTAAATAGTTATGTGCAAATAAAATTATTATTCTTCACAATGCTGTGCATTACATAGCATTATGACCTCCATTTGACAAAGAAACAGACTACAACATAAAAAGTTACTTAAAAGTATAAAATGAAGAAAACATTTAAAAGCTGTACAAAATTAGCAGCTAATTCTGTGTAAAGTTTTATTTTATTTTTTGGCGGAACTGGGGATTGAACTCAGACCCTTGTGCTTGCCAGGCAAACACTTATTTTACTGAGCCATCTCCCTGGCCCCTAAAATTTTATTTTGGGACCATATTAAACATCAATCAATGATAGCTAAGAACAACCATTTGGTAGTCAGAGATATTCAACTGCCTGTATAAGTTTGCGTGCAAGCCATTTCCTAATGTGAATTGAGTTTGTATAATTCTCATTTCTATTGTGCATTAAAAAAACCAGAATAAGGGCTGGCCAGATAGCTCAGTGCAATGAAGGGCATCCTCGTGTGCCATGCCGGCCCCACTCCTGGGGTGTGCTGAGAGGGTGATTGAGACTGGGTGTGGTGCACACGCCTGTAATCCTAGTGCTCGGGAGGTTGAAAACAGGAGAATCACTACGAGTCCGAGCTACATAGTGAGACCCTGTAAACCCCATAGACCCTTTACTAAATACATTAAAAAAAAAAGAACAAAAACAAAAAACCTGAATAAGCTTCAAGTCTTTGGTATAAACTGACATTTGGATGTGAAGTATCATCATTCCAAAATACAGGTAAATGAAGATGTTTATGAAGTATGACAATGAGGTTGGTTTTTTACATGCAATGATTAAGTTTATGTTTCAGGAATGAGGACATTTAGTAATAGGCTATTTAAATATAGGCATCCACGTTTCATCAGGACCACCAAATGCCAGTGCGGTCTAAAGAGCTACATTGTAGTGTTAGCACCCTACACATGCCTACGTGATCAATGAAAGCTAATGAATACTTCATAATGTTGCTGCAACTGTATACAGCTAAGGGCTGTGAGTTATTAACGCTACTAACGCTGGGTTGGGCTCATTCATGAAGCCGTACAAAAGCATGGTGACTTACTGTGGCTGGATTCTAAACTTAACCATGTCTGCTTGTTTCTTTTTCTTTCTTTGTTTTTTGTTTGTTTGCTTGTCTAAAAACCTTGTCTTCTCGCTAAAGTGTAAACTATGTCTTACACCACGTTCATATAAATTTGTTGAATGACTATTGCGTACCCAAATAGGCATCAGAAATCAAAGTCTGATAATGAAATGTCTGTTTTCATTGAGCACACAGACAATTTTTCTAGATTATCAGAAATCAAATCCAGAAAACAGTGTAGAATGCCGGCCTGGGTCTAGGATATCCGCTCCCACACCATTAAATCGTAGGTGGTGTAATCTCTGGATTTTAACATCCGGTTCAATCCCCGAGCCCTTAACCCAGGCACACCGCACACGCCCCGCCCCTACCGCGCGCAGGAGTGCGCATGCGTAGCTGGGAGGCGCTCTGTGACCCTGAGAGGCTGCCGTCGCGCCGTGCGCGGGTGAGACGTCGCGCGTGCGCAGTCTCCCCTCCCAGCGGCCTGCCGGAAGCCAAGATGGCGCGCATCTGGTCTCCGGGTCGAGGTTGGCGCCTTCGCAGTGTCTGAACTGAGTAGTTTGGAAGCGGCTGTGGCAAACGTCCTGTCTGCCGTCATGGCCCGGCATCGGAATGTCCGAGGCTATAACTACGACGAAGGTAGGTGGCGGGGCCGCGCTGGGACCTCGTCGCTGTTCGGCGGGGAGCCCAGCCTGTCGGCGTCCGCTTGGATCCTGGAGCCCGCCGCGGGCCGGACTCCTTCGGGGGCCGCACTGGGGAACGTAGCGCATCGCCCCGGCGCCGGTGAATGGCCTGGAAGGTGGCTTCCGCCCTCGGGAACCGATTTGTTTAGGAAGCGGGAGGTGCCGTGCAGCATATGGAACGGCTGTGCCGCAGCCTCGGGGTTCTGCGCTGTTGGACACGTAGACACGGTCATTTAGTTCATTGTTTTTTAAAAATTTTTTTTCGAGGCCGGCTACTCGTGTGCCTGGTTTTAACTTCTCTCCCCAGAATCCCTTTTTGAGAAATGTTTGTGAAACTCTTGTAAAACGCAAATATTGACTTAGTGCCTGTGATCGACTAATCTGCTGTAACCGTGTGTTTACATGCTGAATGTTTCTGTGTATTCACACTTTTTTTTAGTACAGGACCTGACTTGAGCTGATACGTTTTTCAACGCGTCTCAAACGGGGGATGTAGAAGACGGTAGAGAAAATACATGTTAAAAGGCCACAATTCCGTAGATAATCTTTACTCAGGCATTGGCAGATAATGTTCATTATAAATGGCTGTTGGAATGGAAATAAAAAACAAAAATACATCGAGGAGAACATTGATTTTAAAAATTAAATGAAGAAAAATATGTATATCAATCTTCTAGGAGTTTAAATGGAGTTAGAGGTATTAGAAGGAGCGCATCATGGAGTAATTATAGGCATCACCAGGCATTATAGAAACTAAAAATATAAATAATTATGTACTAATGGAGAATAGACTTTTTTTTTTTTTTTTTTTTTTTTTTTTGGTATAGGATCTAAGAGTCTCACTACATAAATTGGACTCATAGTGATTCTTTTTTGCGGAACCGGGGATTGAACTCAAGCCCTGGTGCTTGCCAGGGAAGCGCTTATTCTACTGAGCCGTCTCCCCAGCAGGAGAATAGAAATAAAGAGCTATTTATAAAGTGCAGAGCATGCAGTGCTTAATATATTGATGGTTATTATTAGCATCTCTGTTCTAGATTGTTCTAGAGCATTAGTATTAGAGTGCTTTACTAATGGGGGGACAACAACCTAGGCAACGTCTGAAGACTGAACCAGGCATGCATTGATTTTTTTGGTTATTTATTTTAGAGTGGAGGTCCTTTTCAGCAAGTATTATGTCTGTAAATATTGGCATAGGGTCCAAATCACCTGAGAAATGACTTTAGACTGAGAGGGAATTTTGCAGCTGGCAAATAAGGGACATGAATAAAAATATTATTTTTAAAATAATATTTTTTCAACCAATAATAAATGTTCTAAGGTTGGTGAATAATACTAAGTTATTGAGGAGGTCTCTGAAGAGATAAGAATACTATGCTTAGAGTCTGAGTGATGCTACAGGAAGTGATGACAGTGGTGTGGGGCTATAAAAGAACATCTAATTCAGAGCGGGTTGGGGATTCGAGCAGGGTGTCTGGCAAAGCTTGCTGGAAGAGAGATGCTTGGCATCAGGGTATGAGTGCTAATATTTTCTCTCCTTGGGTAATTGAGGGTAGACTATCATGCTGCTTTGAAAAACAGTTGTTGACATCATAACCAAGTTGTTCTGTAGCAAATGAGGTTCATCCCTTTTTCTTATAAAATTAATTCTTCTTCAGGGTCCAGTTTCTTTTCTTTAATGAAGCTTTACTTTAGATTCTCAGAATAATAATGCAAACATTTGAAAAAGTAATTTAAGGGGGCCTGCCCCTTAGCTCAGTTCTTTAAGTGGCTGCTTCAACAAAGCAGTCAGGCTCAGGTGCTGTGGTT